TGACCATCCCTGCTATATGCTATCTGCATATTATAATATGGCAACGACAACGTGAAATTGACAGCCGACAGGTCGTTGTATTGTCGTAATATCAAATATGAATATAATAACACATTAACACACTATGTCAATATACGTACCTACTATTGCATTATCAAATTATCAAAAGTACCTACGTTTTGTTGATTGATTTAATTATTAATAATTATGTCGGTATGTGATTCTCAGTAGGTACCTATATTAAACTGAACCATTGTAGTCTGTAGGGAACAACAACAGTATAAAGTACCTACGTATAGCCGTATACCTATAGGTAGGTCGAAGGTCTAGCTGTAGCCTGTATTAAATGTATGTTTTGCTAAATAATATTACGGAGTAAAATACTAAAATCACATTTAATTAATAGATGGAAAACGACAACTGGATTATAATGTTGACACATGATAAATCATAATGTCATAATATAATTAATATATCTTTGGTTATACACGTACCGTTAAACATATTATGTAATAGCTTAAACTTTATACAATAAACTTATACATTATTATTTATTATAAGGTATGAGGAGTGACTGAGTGAGGACTGCACCAAGTAGAATACCTGAATACCTACTTCATAGTGACCGCCGACCGCAATGTGTGAGCGTTATATACTGTACAGCCGCACTAAGCATAAAAATTAACTTAGTAGTTTGTGAATCGTATGAAAATTTAATTATCAAATGGATTAATGATTTTATTAGTTGAATAATATCATATTATGACAAATAAATAATAATGATCATATTTATAATATTCATAATACTTAAATGACTTTAGTTTTATATACGATAACAACGACTTCGTGGCGCAACGGTAGCGCGTCTGACTCCAGATCAGAAGGTTGCGTGTTCAAATCACGTCGAGGTCAATCAAATTTTTGCACTTTTTTTCATTCTAAAAAATGTTGTAATAAAAATTGTATACGATATGATAATTTTATATAATACTAGCTGATCCCGTGCACTTCGTTCCCCGTGAATATATGACTCAAACTTTGTTCCATTCGTTATTTAATATTTGGTTGTATGGTGTTCAAAATTTATCTTAACTTTTCTGTTGCCCGGAATAAAAATTCTGTTTCACAGCAGTATATTATCAGGTAGATCGTGCTGTTTGTACGTAACTTTAAACTCTAAAGTATCAAAGTTATTCCAAGTATGTCACTGAACTCCTCCTAAACGGTTGAACTAATTGTGAATGCCGAGTCTGTCCACCAATATTTTCACCTCGTCCACGAAGACGTGGCATTGTTTTATGTACATAACTTATATGTGAGTATAATACGCTCGATATTTACGTAATTGCGATACATATAATATCAAAAAACAGCGTACAAAAAAATTAAATGCATTGAATGAATACACTGATTTCACGGCAACCAATAATTATTATTATAACAGTTTTAAAACCCATGTCAACCATTTGTAAACAAAGATTTCCACCGTAAATCTCGAAATCCCCTGGTTGGACCTAGGGGGATGTTTTGTGAATCTAAACAATCCCGGGCGTCACCCAAACGCATATAAAAAAATTCATTCAAATCGGTCCGACCGTTTAGGAGGAGTTCAAACACAACACACGTACAGTAGAATTATATAATATATAATGATATTATTATAATTATATTGACAAAAAATAATAATACAAATCAAAATAATAATACAAATCAACAAACATGCCCGATTAAATAATAGCAACCAATATAATTGTCTAATTGTATTAATGTCATTGTGTATAATACAATGTACCATTGTACCTATGATATAAGTAGGTACGTACAAGTTCCCACAAATAATGTTCTGAACCATAGGCGTGTCCAGATCTCATCCGCAGGTCATGCACGACAGTGGCATATTCAGGGGGGAAACTGCACCCCCCCCCCCCCCCCAAAAAAAAAAAATATGACCCCCAAATTTTGAAATAAGCTTTATCATCTGATAATAATTAAATAAGTTTTACTTTTTTTATTAGGAATAAAAAACGATATTTCTTTTATCAGATAAATAAATAACTAGGTAGGTTATATTATGAAATTGTACTATTTAATTTTAAAATAGGTATAATTGTTTTAATACTAATAATACTTTTTACAAACGTTTATTTTTACGTGATGAAAATCAAAAAACTTAACACGAAATCAGACACTTAGAAAAAAAAATTTATATTATACACCCCAATTTATAATGTACCTAAGTTGGATCAAATTTCGCAGGTCATGCCTGTGCATGACAGGCATGACCCGTAGACAAGCCTATGTTCTGAACAAACTAACATCTTTAAATATCTAATTTTCTTCAAATTTTAAGTTAATAAAAGTTTATAAAAAAAATGTTGTTTGACATAGATTCATGCATGCCTGTTAGTTGGATTGGAAACGAATAAACTATTATGATTTTATTCAAAAGAATAAAGAATAAATTAACTGTTCTTAAAAGTTAAAACCATAGATAATATATACATAATATAATAATATATACAATAAAATCCATATGGTTCAAACCGTATTATATTATGCACTTGATGATTTCTACCTACTAAATTTTAAATAATAAGAAAACTTTATAAAATAAAAATCTCCATAATATATTTAGTTTTTAGTTTTTTTTTTCGTGGACTTTACCTAAATGAAAAAAAAAATTACAAAAATAATCAAATAAATTTGTTTTTATACTAGATATTGCGAAAGTTCATTTCATACTGAAATACCATCACCATACACTACCATTTAAATGGTACTACTAATTAGTTACTGCTAATATTGTTTTACTGGCCCAACGTCTATTAAGTTTAAAGCAGAATGTAAATACTGCATAGTCGCGGCATAGAACTCAATTTAAGGAGATCATTAAATTGTCAATAGCCGACGAATAACCATCCACCCAATTAATTTCCAAAACATAAAATAGCTAATGAATTTGAGGAATCATAAAACACAATACCTATTATAACATTGAATATTTGTGTAAAATTATAGCTTTAGAAGGACCCTAGCAATCATCTTGTTGCGCCTATATAAAATAGATTCGTTAGATGTTGGTACATGACGGGGTCCTGGACACTAAAGGCACATTATAAGTTCACTAGTCGCCAGACCTACTAGTCTAAGGCCGTGATACTGACGAACCACAATAATGAGCACTAAACGACACACTACAATGATACAATGGTTTTAGATCATATTATATCGGAAGACGCGCCTAAACGATAGCAGTTGCGTCATCTGTTGGCGCAGTTCATTTCTGCAAGTGCATAAAAGCTGTTCAGTTGTGTTGTTAGATGTCGCTAACGTACGTTTTTTTTTCATTAGATACTTATATAATATTATTATCATTTGTACTACAATGTCTACAATATTAAACCCAATATCAAGGTGTATTGATGAGGCGCCGTCACTTGTTTGAAAATTTTACTACAGATAGTCGACACTCGACACCGCCGGGGGCCGATAAACGAACACTTTTGTACACCATAAATATAAATTAAAACTCAACAGAAATATTTTTCTTCGTACAATAATTAATGTTCTTTAGTACCTAGCCATGTAGTATTTAACCATGGTTTACCAACCACAATTTAAGATAATAATATACACTGCTTACCACAGATATAGAAAAATACTAGATAGACCACTCCCTATTCCTACAATGTAATAATTATGAAGCCGACAAAATGGCCGAAATACTCTTATCTAAGAGATGAATGTTTACAAAATATAAATTATGATAAACTGTGATAATTTTATGGTGGGAATCCAAAACTATTAAATATATATTACAAATTACAATATCATTATACACTTACAAGTTACAACACGGACTTAGGGCCGTTCTTACGACGTCCGGTTAGCGTTAACCGACACTTTACCGGACATTGTAAGAACGGCCCTTAGAATACCGAGTTTATTTAATATTTTAATATGATCAATATATCTGTAGTCTGTGATACAAGGTGTGGCGAGTACATCGTAATCATTAATATTTGATGGATTAACCGTTCTCAATTTAATTGCCCATCTTTAACCTTATGCCCATAGGCGTAAATAGTGTTTGAAATTGGGGGGGGGGGGCTGTAGCTCAGGTCTATACTTGATATTCTTATGATGCTTTTAAATTATAGTAGTGAAATCATTAGTTTTTGGGGGTTGCTATGGACATTTTAAGTTGGGGCTTAGCCCCCCAGCCCCTCCCCCTATTTGTGCCTATGCTTATACCATTGATATAAATATATAATCAATGATATTACTATGTACATTTTGGTAATCGGTAAAGAAACCCGGCCAATTATTTGACATTTTTCACCTTGTCAAATAAATTGTTTATAACTGATGTATCAAATACTATATTTGTGATTTTTAAAACTAATGTTAATTTTGTTTTATAACAGCTATATTGTATACTAGTCGATATTTGAGGTCTTATTATTATTTATGATTTATGACTTAAAACTAGGTATTGTTTATTTTATACGTCATAATCGCTATCCAGGGGATTTATACGAGTGGTTATAACTTGGATGAGGCGAATACCATAGGCAACTCATCATACGAATCGGCCTTAGCTAATATTGTTGTATTCTGTGATAATGTCTATGGTACAGGTGGTAGTAGTGACTGGGGAATTGAATATTGATAAGAAACTGTTCGCCAGTAATCACAATCAGTAATCAGTATATTATTTTATCTGCCAGACGCCAGTGCCTTATGCCTATAATTCATAAATTAATAAATAATTTATAAATAATAGTATATTACTAATTGCTAAATAGTAGTTTTATACTTTATAAATTATATAATCATTTGCAAGCACCGATGTTGGACAGGTTTTACCAATCTTGCACTTAGAATTTATTATACTCAGTATTTACAAGTTACATTATAATATTTACCTGTCGTTTCAAAATAAAAATTCAAACAGTTCAGTTTTATTCTAAGTATTATTTGTAAAGATAGTTGACAACATGACATCAAACGTGAAACATATTATATTAGTGATGTCTGGTAAAGGAGGAGTTGGTAAATCAACCGTGAGCACTCAGTTGGCACTCGGATTAGTAGCTAAAGGATACCGGGTAAGAACATCATTTTCAATTATGATTAGTGACAGATGGTTGGTGCTGCATAAAGCTTTAATTACATAAGACAAATGTTAAACTCCTAATTACTGTGGCAAAGATTTGCAGATTTACATAAGACAGAAATTATAGTCCATAGCTGTAAACTAAACTATACTTGATATACTTTGTTTTACTAACCAAGAAACAAAACTCACTGCTTTTGGCATACCTATCCTATTTTTATTAGAATTTATTGTTTAGCACATAAGCGTAGTACATTGAAATAGTAAACACATTGAAATATTGTAAACACTAAAAATTTATAATTTTATTTTTTAATTGCAATATTAATTTGTTTAGTGTGGAATATTAGATGTAGATTTATGTGGCCCATCAGTACCGTTTTTGTTAAAACTAGAAAACCAAGAGGTACATCAATGTGAAGCTGGTTGGGTACCAGTTTATACAGACGAGTCAAAATCTTTAGGTGTGCTTTCAATTGGATTCTTGACCAAATCTAGAAATGATAGCGTAGTATGGAGAGGACCAAAAAAGACTGGTTTGTCATTTAAAATAGCTAATTATATTTTTATTCTCAAGTTTAAATGTATGTTTTTGTGTGTGTCATAAACAGCATTCATAAAACAATTGCTTTCTGATGTTTTCTGGGAAGACGTTGATTATTTAATTATTGATACACCACCAGGAACATCCGACGAACACATAACAGTTATGGAGAATATTAAGTATACAATTATTATTTATTTATTAACTGAAGATTTAAGAATCTACTTATTGTTGTCTTCATAATTTTAGAGAAGCTCCATGTGACGGAGCAATACTTGTAACAACTCCACAGCAAATTGCTTTGGATGATGTCAGAAAAGAATTGTCATTTTGTCGTAAAACTGGTATTCCAATACTAGGAATAGTTGAGAACATGAGTGGATACGTTTGCCCTAATTGTTCTGTGAGTTAATAAATCGCTTAAATATTACTTTGACTTACTATATACACTTCTTCCAATTTTAAATTAATGCAATGATATTAATATTTTAGTAACTAAAAATACAACTAAAAAATTTGAATTATTTAAAAAATAATTAATTTAAGTTATATCTTGAATATATTTAATTTTTACTGATTTAACATTTAAAAAAAAAAATTAACTTGATTGTTCATACTTGTCATTTGTTTAAACTTATATTAGAATTTGAATATTCTTGATAATCTTATGATTTTGAGCCATAGACTTTAAATAAAAAACATAATGATAATAAATGTACATTTAAATGTTTATACTTTTTATTTTATTTTACAGGAGTGTACAAATTTGTTTTCATCCAACGGTGGAAAATCATTAGCTGAACATTTCCAAGTTCCCTTTTTAGGAACTGTACCAATAGATCCAAGAGTATCTTCCGAAACATCAAAATATGTCGGTTTAACTAATCCTGAATCACCAATGGCAATATCTTTTAACTCAATTGTTGACCGTGTAATAAATCCAAACTGATTAACCTAATTAATTCCATACTTAAATACAAATTTAGTTTCAATGTTTATTGCATTAATATATATTATTTGCTGCTGCCATAGAACTTTTAACATTCCTATACAGCTATACAAATGTATACATATTATGCAAAAAAGTAAATAATATATTGATAACAGTAAACGATTAAAAATTCTATGTTTGGTACAATATGTATATTATTGAATTGTATTATTCTTACTTGTTATAAATTAACTTTTTACTCTATGGGTACTTTTTGTTTTGACTGTTCAACTTCTTTCTTGGATTCATCCAGTTCAGACAATGGTTCCACATTTCCAAGTGGTGATTTACTCGTGAATAAAATTGGTATATGAGTTAGTCTTGGGTTCCCATCTTTCTCCAAAAACCTAATCTAAAATGTTAAATAAAAATTTAGTATATAAGTAATAATATTTTGTTGAAAATTAAATACCCAAGATAATAAAGAGTTTTTACTGGATGTACCAGTTGCAGCAACTGCAAGTATGGTACCATCTTCTTGTTCATGCACAGTTTTTTTTTTAGCAATTTTGTCAGATATTTTTGGAATAGGCTTATCAAAAAAAGGTACACGGAAATTACTAATATCTAAAAATAATAAAAATTATTACTTGATATGAATTTGTAATTTGAATATTTATATGTCAATTATGTTACCATCTTCATCTTCTTCTTCATTTTCTATTGCAGGAGAAGGTTCAGTTCTTAAAATGAAATAAATAATACTCTGTTTTCGAAGCCATATTCTGAAACCACCTTCAATATATACAGGGACATTTTCTGGGTGATTAGCAACAATTTTTTTTTGATCAGGGCTTTGACCACTAACTATCCATGTATCCTCAATGCTTTCTTCTAATTCCTTAGTTTTGTATACTTTAACTTCAGATTCAATGTCTATACTACTAATCCTTTTGATAGCTAATAATGCTAGTTCATAAGGATCATTAGGGGCAGGCTTAGGTATAGGCCAAGGGGATAAATTATTAAACTTAGGCATCCAGTACATCATTCGCCAATAGCGCCGTACGGGGAATCCACGAGGACCAAACCGTTTAACAAGCATGTCTTCTACTTCCCAATCAGGAATCACTCCTAAAAAAAAAGAAGAAGATCCATATTAAGAATTCAAATATATTATACATTAGTTTAAGAATTTGTAATTTTACCATTATCTTCCATTTTCTGTAATAAGTCAATGATACACTGCTGGTGTTTTGGGTAGTGCATGAACTCCGACTGTATATAGTTCTGGGGGACGAATTTTCCCGCTGGTAGTACTTGGATGAGTTTTTTGTAAGTTTCTAGGTCTTCGTTTACTCCAAATTCATCCAAGTGCTTAATTGCTGTGTTTATAAATTCTACATGACCAGATCGATATTTTTCCATTCGATATACTCTTAACATATCCAAGTACGTCTTTTTGTTCTTCTCCTGGACATTATTGAAGCTGTCTACGCTCACCACATCAACTTTAGGAGGTTTGTCAAGACATGATTCTGTTGAATGAAACCCTCGTTGGACAGACTTGACAGACTGTCGGTTAAAAAATAGAACAAAACCTCTGCACGTCCTTAGAACATTGCTCATTGTCTTATTAACGTTATTCTTGAAGTGTAATTACTAATTTAAAATATTCGCATAACGAAATTTGGATATGTAATAATTTCTACGGGTTACGGTAGACAGAAGTAAAGTTTTAAGTTTTTCTATATTTTAATTTTATCGCCGGTTATCATTCACGTTATCATTTATATCAGTTTATCTTGTGCAGGTTGGGCAAGAAATAATAATGATGAAATTAAATCGTGTACCAACTGATATTCTCTTGATTTGGTTTCGTATTAGATCCATAGATATTTTATTTTTTTTTCGGCGGAAGGATTTCCGAGCGAATCTTACTTTTAAGAGTTAATGTTTGCAAAAATATTAATGCTGACTAGGAATGGAAAATGGTTTTTCAAGTGCCGTTAAGAGCGCCTTGTCCTTGTGACCTTTCAAAATGGACTTGAATATTAATGTAAACGTCGATCTAGTTTTTGACAAAAAAAAAATTTGAAAATCTTAATTTTGTTCGTATCTACTTAAGTGCTGACTACGATCAAATATAGTACTATCCTAAATCGTGGTGCTGACGAAACCTGTTGCTGGCCAATTCCATACATAATTTACTATTTTTGAATATTGCATTGGACCAAAGGTTTCAGAGCGAATTTCAAAACTAAGCTAAATAGTGCACTTGCTTGTGAATTGTGACATACGATCGCCGAACAGTATAGGTATTATAACCATAAACCAGGTAGGCTATAGATCCCAAGTGGTGCGTAAGTAAGTGTATATTATAATTTTATAGTATATTATTTATATAATAAAATAATATAGAAAAATTGCACCACTTAACGATTCAAACTCTAATGATGTTCAAAACTTTTAAAAAAAAGATTTAAGTTTAACTTTGATTTTTAACATGTTATAATCATAACATTGCACATTTACTGGGTAATACCGCCTAACAGCGTAATCATTTTTTTTTAACATGAATAATGTTATTATGGCATTAATATAAAAGCTAGGTGTATTATGGCCTTGACTTTTTTTAAAACCAATCAATGACTTATCTTTGCATTTTATTGTTTTTTATTATATCCAAGATACACCCATTATAATCTATTGAAATAAACCGTTTCCCGTTAATCAATGCTCGTCGTTTATCCCATCTTATTCTTAATCTACATTAAAGATTTTTAACACAGTAATTTTGATGATTTTGACCAAATATTTTTGCCAGCTCATTAAAATTTTTTATCATTTTCTTTACGTTAAAAATGCCCTCTGATACTATGTATCATATTATATATTATACATAGGTATAACATATTATAGGTATATTTCAGACTTCAGTATAGAGTATGTCCCAAAAGTCCCGTATCACCCTTAATATCTCTATATAAAATCACTATATTTAAACGCGGTTTTTTTTTTACAGTACTAAGTATGAAAATTCTGATTGAATGGAATAAAATTCATTTATTTTTTTCTTTGAATTCAAAAATTTTCAAAAAAATTTTTTACGCATTTAAGAATTTAAAATTTTTAAGATAGCCATTTTGTTGAGCATATTTTTTAAAACAGTTAAAAAAAAAAAATACTAAAATTAAATAAAAATTGACCAAGTTAGAGCAAGTTATGTTTTTGAATAATTGTAGTAAAAAAATAAATTATTGTTTCACATTTCAATAATGAAATATCTAATTTCAGCACACGACCATACTTTTACATTCCTAATTTATTTTTTTAGTACTGTAAAAAAAACCGCGTTTAAATATAGTGATTTTACATGGAGATATTAAGGGTGATACGGGACTTTTGGGACATACTGTATAGAAAATATTATTGCATTTTATCGTGCTGAGTGTCTTATAATATATTATAAAGTATATACCTACCTGTATTAATATCCACATCACGTATCCATATACATACAAAATATACAATTATTATTATTATTATTATTATTATTACAAAACTGCAATACATTTATTTGTACAGATTTAAAATATATAGGTAATAGTTATGTGGTCAATATTTCAATACAAACACTTTCTTATTTATGTCACATACCTATACTCACATCATAGAGAATTGGTATTTTGTGGTTTCTTATATTTACAAATCTTATTTCAATTAGTTGTCCCATCTGTACACACCATTTAATTATTATAACTATGCTATCCAAGGTCCTTCGCGGTGTTTGAAAAATTATCCGACATTTTACGATCATTACCATGTATTATATTATATTATAAAAATAAATGATAACACTAAAAGAAAAGTTTATAGGCACCTACCATAAAACTATCGTACATTTTACATAAAATGACTACGGTGGAAGCAGTGGTATGCAGGACATGCTGACTCCATACCATTTCAAAACTCGCCGGCTGGCTGTTTGACAATCAAGAAGAAAATTGCAAATTTGAATATTGATATAGGTAATAGGTATAATAATTGTAATATAATATGCACTATAGGGATTAGAATATCCAGGCTTTCAGCTATTTATTTTTGTCTTTTATTTTTACAGAAATTGGTTAGTATTACTAATAAATTATAATGACTATACGGCAATATTGCTCCATCAAAAATTATTAAACCAAACAATATAACGTATCCCATAGGTTACGCAATAAAAATAAAATTCAAATACATATTGATGAAACGGTTTACCCCCTAAAAATGAGTTTTTGAATCAGTCGTCTTCCCCTCTTCTACCACCGTCCATCGCTAACTTTAAAAATTAAGATGCATGACATGATATTAGTATATTATTATGCTATCTCTGCGGAAAAAATTTAGTCATGCGTACCTGTATATATTATAACCCAAAACACATCATATTATAATAAGTACTGACAAAATATGACAACTGCAAACACGTGACATGCAATTATGATTATATTAATAAATTAACTATAAATTTAAATTTAAAGTCAATTCGTTTTTATTTTTTTTTAATTATCATACTGAATTAGAATTAGGCATAGGCACATATACAGCCTTTACACTAGCACTGACTGTGACATTGATATTGATTTAGGTACATAATACTAGTAATACCTACTTTGATTTCGTTTGTACGGATTTATCATAGGCAACTACAGTCAGTGGACAGTGATACATGTGCACAGTCTATAAAGGTATATTATTATTTTTGTATAGATTATCTCTATACATAGTCTGCAGCATTTTAAATTTTAGTTACAGAGCTATAGCTCTTAGGGGGAAGGGGCTAGGGTGGCTAAAGCCCTTTTATATTACTTTACAGTCATACTTTTTACTTATAATTACCCAATAAACAATTACTTATAGACTTATGGTATAATAATTTCTTTACAAATCTTAAAAAATAAATTAAACATAAACAAAATGCTAAAATTAGGTTTGAAAAAATTAAAAAAAGGTTTTTAATTTAATTATAAATTAATAATTAATAATTATTAATTTAATTTAATTTCCAATAATAATATTTTATTTATTTATTTATTGCAAAAAAGAAACAAACATTGGTTACCTATATACAGTTAACAAGGAAATGTATATATAATATATATGTGTGTTTGCTCATATAATATCTTTTAAGCAAAGCTTATGTTCGAGATGATACAATATTGAATATTGACTCGGTTGCACGAGATATATCGATAATGAGTAATGACCATCGATATATATTATGTTTTATCGACTATTATAACTTAATCGATGCCCATCGAACCGCGGTTGTCTTTTGAAAGTCAATCACATCAAATTTTAGAACAAGCTCTTCGTCATGCAACACTAGAGATGAACCTAAATCAGGATATACCAAGTGTATCCCTATTCCCCTGTACGTGTAGCCGTTGTCGAGTAATCGCACGGACAAACATCCGGATGAGTTGACAATAAGATTCGTTGTTAAATAAAAACCTTTAATTAATAAAAAACGGTATAGCATAAAAAGTAAAAACGGAATTTATAACTTAAGTTAAGGTGACTCACCAAAAAATTAGCCCCAGGCCTCAAAATTCCTAATAGTAGGGCTGCAGAAAGTCCTATAAGGCTTGAAAAGGGTGAAGCAAACTGCTGTATGAGTTTAATCGGTAATTACTAATTAGTAATTATACTAATTGGACAATTTGGAGTTACTAAAGTTATGTAGTATACGTGGTTAAATTTTTTCAAAAACAGGTTTCGTAAATAAATTGTGCGCAAATGAGCATTGTAGCCTAAAAGTTTTACCTACCTAGCTGTTCATTTTATAAAGGTAGGTAATTTAAAATTCAAATTATATTGCAGTATTTTATAAGGTAGGTACCAATTTAGTACCTAGGTATATGTATATATATATATATATAAAGTGTTTATTATGGAAACTTACGAAATCATTTTTTCCAGGTATTCAAAACATGGGCTTAGAGTATTAAAACAATACACATTTTCCTCTGATCTGCCTACCTATTGTATTTGAAGTGCATACAACTATACAGCTTTAATCACTAATCAGAAAACAACTTTACTCGTATATGATAAAAAATAATAATATGATCAAAATATCTAAGTAATTCAACCTTGTTAGTTCCGATGCAATAGGTAAGTACTTAATCTGTAATTTAATATTTAAAAATTATCTTTATCCACTCTTGCGTGGTGGTAAAAACTAACAGTTAGTAATTACTAATTACCTAGTATTATGGGTGTTTTGTAGAATATGATATTAATATTTTCCTATACTACTTACATACAATATAAATTACTATACTTAATGCTAAAGAGTATAGGATAATAACATTTTATGAAATAGGTATAAGTTAAAAATGCAAATTTATAAACCTATATTAAATGGTTTGGGATCTAGGATGGTTATAGTTAATCTGAGGTAGAAAATTGAACCTATGAAGCTGTAGACGATTACACGATACGTTTATAGTTTTACACGACATTCATTGGTTCCATCAGCACTCTCCCTAGAATTATTATACCTGTAGGGGGAGGGGACATCATTGGCATTCCACTCGAACATGTCACTGTATGTCTAAATAAATAAATAAATAAAT